CATTTCTAAGCAAAGACATGTGCTTAGACATAAAGGAAAAACATGGGAATTAGGGACGGGAAATAAATCTAAGGAATCAAATCAAATATGTGAGGTAAATGGTAAACCATGAATCATGGGAAACATTCCTAATTTTATTTGTATAATTATAAAATTTATTTAGTTTTTCGCGACTTTCGTGACAATATAAGACCTACACGTCACTCTCGTGAGAATTGCACAATAGCGTTAGGAACGATTAGATTGACTGATACCAAATGATTGGGCAGTTCTGATAATATGCGAAGAACTGATATGTCAAAGTATTCTTGCCTTTCACCTTGAAATGTTATCTTTTCCTTAGACAAACAAACTGGAGAAACCGTGGAAACCGGTGGTTGTGAAGACGAATATCGATTCATAGTTGGAACCCATCCCACACTTGGCAGTATGCTACCAATTACTATCAATTACATATATTCATATATTCAATCAATCAAATTTCACAGTTGCGACTTATTATTTAGTAATTATTCTATTCAATAATTAAGGCTACATTTGCATATTTATATGAAAAATGAACTGCTATTATATCATTAGTTGCTCTTCAACTTTTGCACGTTATGGTATTTATGCAAACTGTGAGTGGAGTGGGATGAATTATGATGATATTGTGAAGAGACAAATGAACGCCGAATCATTTGCAATATTAAACAAATGAATATGAAAAAAATGACAAAATGATTAAGAAGATTATTTTTTTTTGATTTTCTGCAAGAGAACATAAGTTTTAGAATCGATGAATAGCATAATTAAAGCTATGCAACCTGATGGACATTCACAGTGGACAAAAGGTTCATTCATGACCCTGAATGACCTCACCAAATCGTCTTTTCCTCTATTCCCTTACTTCGATACCAATCATTTCTGTCCTTTCCATATACATCGAAAGAGTTGCTTCTTCCCTAAATCTCCTTCTGTCATTGCAATTTTTTTTTTCAGAAATAATTTTCAGTTTAAATTCTCCAAAATCAAAATATATTTAGCTGCCAATTTTATTTCAAGTCGTATTTCGTTTTGAGCCATTTTTATCTTTTAATTAATCACTTCACTTATTTCTTCATTGAAGTTGTATATAAAATGAAATGTAAATTGCAGGGAAGTTCTAATTAAGTTCTACAGATCTTTCAAATTTCGTGTGATTCACGCAATGAAGTCTACGATATTTATAGGTTTGAGTTTTTATGAAATTAGAATGAAAAGATACAAATGGTCTTTGGAATCTAACTGGTTTACTAGAATTAAGTCCAAAGTATGCATAAAAACGATTCATTTCGGTTCATTATGGAAGGAAATTGTGTACAAAAATTTTTGATATCCTGAAAAAAAAAAAAAAAAACGTCCAAGTATTTTCGATTACTTCATTGATTGTTCTCGAATTTCATAAATCTCCTTAAATTTCTTCAAGTATATTAACTTTTTTTTAAAGCAAAATTACAATTTTATTGACATATTAAGTATGCATTTATTAAAATCAAACACAGAATTACAGAATTTACTTTTCTTCTCCCTTACAAATTGCTTTAGTTGATCGTTAATATTTTAATTTTAGTGCTAACATTAGCTGAAATACAATTTGGATTCATGAGAAAGCTATTTTTGATGTCAACAGACTTTACTAATGATTGTTTGGTTTATCGAAAAGTTAACGGAACGATCAAAAAGTGGGATTATGATGAGTGCACCATCGGGAATCGTTGTTGCTTCTCAGCTATTATCATTGGTATTTCGGTTTATTACCCAATCCATTTTTAAATTAAAACCATTAAAAAGATAAGCGAGTATTTTAGTTATGGAACTAAAAATCGGCTTGAACTGAAATAAATTAGGATCAAACTGCCAAACATAACTGGTTGAATTTGTGGAAATACCCAAATATGGACTGATGAAGGGAAATCGAATTAACTGAAAATATTTAAACTTGATACCTTCTACTAATCATTCAGAAACCATTTGTCTAACTGTTAATCTCAGGTGGAAAAGTTACCCTTCGTTAAGCATTCATACTTTGATGACGAAATTTATTATTAATTCATCCATCCCATCAGGAATAGTACAAGAAATGTACATTTCCAGATCAATCGACGAATTTTGTTGTTGAAACAGGTGGCTGTCAAAATGATTTTCAATCGTTCATACAACAACATCCGGATATTCGAGTCCATCCAATTGATCGTTTACCCTTTTTAGGACAATTTAGTGATGAAAAGTTTATGGAATACTGTGAGGTGAATGAAAATAAATATTTCGAAACAATCCATTTAAACTTCATCCAATATTGCTTCCCAATTCCTTTTAATTATTATATAAATGAACAGAAAAAAAAATTGAACTACCTATTTAGAGGAAACTATACTTTCAGCATACAGAATGTGCTATTTTCTAGGTAATT